GGTCCGCCCTGGCCCCGGCTCTGGTCTCGGCCTGGCGGCAGCAGGGCTCTCACTCGGCGGGGCACAGCCCGGTCCCTGCCGGCGGGCGCAGCCCCAGGCGCTTCCGAATGAAGGCGGCGATCAGGCGCTGGGGCCGGTGCTGGAACTCCCGCAGCACCTCGTGCGGCGCCCGGATCTGGTCACTCTCCAGACGGTCCAGGAGCACCACGCAGACCACGGCGGCTGTGGGACAGCCGGGGGTGCCTGACCTCGTGCCCAGGGCAGGCACCCCCCTGCCTGCGGACACTGCCCCGAGGGCAGGAGAGGAGCCTGGTCCCGCTGCCCGTGCCAGGGGACGCGCCCGAGGGGCCCAAGTGGAGGGACGCGGGGACCGGGCACCCCCTGCTCACCCCCTCCTTCTCCAGCAGAACAGGCGGAGGCCGCTGGGCCGCTGCGCCAGGGCTCCTTCGAAGGCCAGGAGAGGGAGGAGCAAGGCCTCACTTTGGCTGTGCCTAACATGTGCTCAGGCCTTCTAAAACTTTTATTGAGGCACAAAATTTGTTTTAGTGCATTCTATAGTTAAAACCATTAGAAATGCGGTTTTGGCCCTCGGGCTGTCTTACTCTCGGGCAAACCCAGCTCCTAGGCCGGGGCAAGGCTGGGGGGCGCAGGAGGAGGCGGACACGGCCGGGGGGGACTCACCTCTCAGGCCACACAGCCTGCACAGGGCCGCGAACGCTGTGGACTCCATCTCAATGTTCCTCACGCCGGCGTCGTAAGCTCTTTTTAAGTACTCTAACTTTTTTTCACTGGAAAAAGAGCACAATGCTCCATCTAATCTTCCCTGACCTTGAAAGGAAGCAGAGAAGCGTCACTGCTGGCCCCGTGCGGGTTTGCGGTCACGGTGAGCAGGGGTTTGGATGGGACGCGCAGCAGTGCCTGCATGTTGTCTGAAACCGACTGATAGTTACTTAACTCCCGTTAACCTCACTGTTTACAGCAGGGCGCTATGCCTCCACACGGAGGAGGAAGTTGCACAGGTTTTAACATCTGTAAAAAGGAGGAGCAAGCCCGTAGGTGTGGAGCACGGGGCGTATTTTGCCCCTGCAGGGGCAGCCCATCGCAGCTCCTCCGAGGTCGGTGGCATAGGCCCACCCTGGAGGTCTGCCAGGTTAAATCCCCAAAACGCCATGCAGCTGTGGAAGAGGTGCAGCAGGCCGGGCAAAAACGGAACACTGGGGAAAGGAAAACACCCTTCGTTTCGGTCTCACTTTTCTTCAGGGACTGCCCTGGCTGGCAGGCAGCTGGAGCTGCTTGTGTGCAGCGTTCCCTGCCTGGTGCCATCGGCACTGACGGGAGCGGGGTCCCGGGGTGCTCATGCTCCCCCCCGCTCCCCCCTCGGTCCTGTCCCAGCCCTCTCCTCAGACTCCACGGGTGGCTCTGGCTGTCCCAGAGCCGTGCCCGGTGCAGCTGCTCCTCTCGCACAGGATGGAAAGTCCTTGATGCGTCAGATGTACCTGCGGCTGCGCTAACCTGGGCAGAGCACTTCGCTTTATTGCTGTTCCCATTGTTAATCCTCTCAAATAGCTTTTTGTTTAAATAAAACATGGCCTTGAGCAACACACAGATGGTCGCATCTGCGAGCAGATCCTAAGGTTTATAAATAGTCCTCAGGTTATTAATTCTTCATTTATTACATTTCATCTACTCTGCAATCAGCACTTAATTTTGCAAAGGAAACGGTTCCAGAGTAACCCAAGTCTGTTTACGTAAATGTCACAGGCTTCCTGACATTTTTCTAGTGTTTGGTAGTTCTGAGGTTACAGCCTCGTAGGAAACAACTCAGCCCACCCCAGCTGCCAGGCCTGTGCAGGACTGTGGGCCAGGGGCTGTTTTCTTTGCAGGGCTGGCCTGGCCAAGGGCCGAAATGGGGGTTGCATGTTCTGGCAGTTTTGCCTCCACCAGAACGTGAAGAATTGGCACTATCCAGGGGGAGGAAGGACAGTTGAAGATCATTTTACCTTCATAGAAGTCGTAGGTGCACATGGTGTGGCCGATGAGCGTGGGGAGGTCAGGAATCTCCTTGCTGCAGGTGAGGAGCTCCTCCACCAGGTCCCTGTCGAGCTCCGTGCTCCGCACCACCACATCATCCAGCACCACCTGCTCAAACCGCGGCTGGAAGGAGGAGTCCACTGCCATGTCTGTGATTACAACGGACCCGGCCTCGACCCCTGTCAAAATGAGGGCTGAGGCTAAGCCAGAGCTCATAACACTTGTGACCTGCTGCAGAGCTTCAGCATGACAGGAGAACCTCTACAGATACACGTGTGACTGCAGGATTATTCTTTTTAGTGAGTAAAACAGATGTGAGAGAATAATTGAAATTCATGTGGTAGCACAGATGTACAAGTAAAATGCACAGAATCAGCACATGATGAGTGATTGTGGGACTGTGCTGAGCAACGGCGATTTGATTGCGTCTGCCTTGCAGAGATCATGCCCCCCCAGCCTGTGCAGGCAGCAGCACTGCCCCAGCCAGGGACCCCCAGCGCAGGGGACTGCAGGCACCAGGACAGCCAGGGGGATCCCACAGCACGAGGGTGGCTTCCAGTCAAGTGTTTTCTGCTTGAACTGTGGCACCCGGTTGTTGTGAAGTCGGAGCCTTTGTTCATTACAGAAATAGACACTCTGTGAAGCCATTCACTGGGTTTTAACCCAAAACAAAATAACACCTTGTTTGGTATTCAGGGACCTAACAAAATGCTAAAGCTTATCATTGCATGACCTGTTGCTGAGGATTTTTTTTTTTTTATTAATAGCTCTCAAGAAAGACCATGGATAGCTTACCTAAGCCTCCGGAAGTACCGATGCGTATAATAGTGACGTCTCGGCACTTTGCATGGTGGAGCAGTTTGATTAGCTCGTGGAGCATGATGGAGATGGAAGGGATGCCCATCCCATGCTGTCGGGAGGAGAGAAAGGAGAAGTGTCATTCTCTGTGGGGCTGTGGCAGGTATGTGATGGCAGCAATCTTGGGATTCTGCTGTGGCCTCTTGCTGCTGCTGAGGCCAACAGCCATTTTTGGAGGGGGGAGAGACATCTGAGTGGTGTTGCAGCCTGCCCAGGTGAAGCACCTCACCTTCTTCTCCTCCCCTTGATGCCTTTAAGGCTGCTCTCATCTCATCCCCTCCAGTGCCTCCCAGCCCGTCCGCCCCACGCTAGCTCCAAGTGCACCAGGGATGTTTGTGCCCCTCGGTGAGGGCTGGTTTCGGGGCCAGGCCTTTGCCACTGAAGCCTCGTGCCTCGCAGGCCACCAGTCCTGCTCCCTGGCTCGTGTCTCCTGTCCCCAGGGCTTGGGGCTCCCCCCTGCCCCGGGACCGGCCTCTGCCCCAGCACCGCTGCCGCTCCTCGGGGCTGGCAGACGCTTGGCAGATCATGAGCTGTCGAGGCTGCCTCTTCTTTCCCCAGGGCCCCCTCACATGATCATCTCAGTTTTCTGCTCCATCGCTCAACCAACATTCTTTTCTCGGCTTTACCTCTAAAAACAAAACCCATTTGGTGGTGTGAGGTTTGTTTGTTCCCATGAGAAATGCCTCACGTTTTTTTGATTTTGCTATCATGCTCAAAAACCTGAAGGAAGCACACGTGAAGGAGCAGAGTTAATTTAACGTATGCAGGCAGTTCTTATACTGCTTTGTCTCTTTTCGTTTGGTGAGACTGATGGTCTGTAGGCTTGTATCGTGTTTTAAATACAAAAACTTTTGCATGTTGTTATTCCAGAACATCAGCCTGACTTATCTGCCAATGCCTAAAAAATTTATTCTCATTGTAAATATTCAAAGCAGGAAACTGTGTCCCTGCCTCTGGTATGTTTGAGTTCATTTGTGTTTCTAAGCAACTTGCAAAAATGCGATGTTGGCAGCTGCTCTGCACGAAGCGTTTTTGGGGGAGGCTCTGTGCGTGCTCTGCCCTGCGTCCCCTCGCAGGGACCAGCCAGGGGGTCGATGGCTTCTGCGCTGGCCCAGGAGTGGCGTGTAGCCAAGAGCCCAGCGTGGGCTTTTCATCTGGGCACCTCACGGCTGCTGCCAGGCCGGGCAACAGCAACACTGGTTGCTGGGTCTGTCAGATTGATTCCCTCAGGCTTCTCCGTCATTCAGGTTTGGTTTGGTCAGAGGTACCGAGCGTGAGCTCTGTCACGTGGGTGACGCTGTCTCCTGCAAATCAGACTAATCTTGTGCCTAAAGAAATGACAGCAGGACCCAGCCCTGGAGTATGGGCACTCATCAGCACAGCCCGTATTTGCCTTTTCTCTGTGCAGTACCAAAATTCTGCTCTTAAAGAATAATTAAGCAAGGTTTTTACTTCAGAGCTCATGTGTGTAATAGTTCCAGCAATGTTTCATAGTTCATGCGTGGTGGGAAGTGGGCTTTGCCTCTCAGATTGCCAGGCTGCTGAGCTGAGCAAAATATGTGCATGTTCATTTTTAATACAAAGCTTTTTAAACCAAACATGTAGGATACCGAGAAATATCATTCAAAGAGAAGCAGCTTTACCACGGCTGAAAGGTTGTGCTGGTGGCAACAGCTGAAAACTGAGGAAAAAAAATCTGCTGGCGGGGCTGCGGGAGGGAGAGGTTGTGCTGGCCACCCTCTCTCCCACCAGGGCAGATGGGCGCCGCGCTGGCAGCAGCTCAGACCCTGGGGCAGGGGCCGCCCTGAACACCCGTGGTGGAAAACGCGTGCGGTGTGGTGCAGCATGGCACGGCGTGGTACTCACGCTGATGGAGAGCACGGGCCCAGCCCGGTACATGGCGTATCGGTCCGTCCCCGCGCAGATGTCTGCCAGGTCCTTCCCGTCACCTGCCAGTCCCAGCTCCTTGTGCATGAACTGGGCAAACGCCCTCATCCTGTTGGGGCTGCCCCCAACGCAGACAAACTGGGAGTAACATAGGAACGTGTCAGTGCTTTGTAGCTAAAACCGGTACCAAGAGTTGGTCTCAGTGCGGCGGCGGGGGGCTGCGCCAGGCGCGTCTCCCCAAGCGCACTGTGGGATACCGCTCCCTCGCAGGCGTCGGGGGACTTCAGAACAACTGAGGGTCTCTGAGCCAGGAGTTAACACTAAAACCAAGCAAGGTCCAGACAGCTGCACGGCTGCACACATTCGGTGTCAGTCCCAGGCCAAGACAATCTCAAATAATTCAGCAAATCTAAGCTATTAGTATTTCTACTGACAGCAAAGCAAAACCAGATGTTAGAGGAGCTCGTCATTTAATTTATTCTATCAACAGTGCCGACTGCAATTAGCGAGCACTGCTGATGACACAGAGGCCATAAAGTCAGGAAGCAAAAAGGACAAATTTTACATATTGAAGGAAAAAATGCTCCCTGAACGTAGGAGGGTGACCAGTGTGTGGCTGCAAGGACAGCGCTGCTGATCTGTCTCCAGTGGCGCAGGGGGGCGGGACCCTGCCCGTGGCTCGGCCCCAGGACCCTGGCGCTGGGGGTAAAGGCTCCGGTTCCAAGCGGAGGAGGATGCGGATCATGACAGGCTGGCTTCAGCAGCAGGTCTCAGCCAAAAATACTACATCCCCCTTCCCTTGTCTCCAGTAGCTGATGATTAGATGCTTTGGACAAATGCTTCCTCCGTCTGCCCTCCAACACGGGGGCAATATAAAATTAGGTTTTACGGAACTACAGGTTTTTAAAAGGGTAATTTTCTGTTGGGATTTCTGCCCAAAACAAGCAAGGCTGGCTGACCTCCCTGTGCAGGCTGCCCGGGGTAGCCGGGTCCCCTGGACGAGCAGCCGGCCGCTGCTCTGGCGGGAGCGTGGGACAGCAGAGCTGCGGGCGGGAGCTCCTGCCTCCCTCGGGCACCTCCTGTTTACCTTGACATCCCCAAACATCGCCGGCAGGTTGTGCGTCTTTGTTCCCAAGTCCAAGTGATACAGCACGTCCTCCTCCATCGAGTCCAAGTGTGGGTTTTTAACGTGGACTAGCCCACTGCTGTGGGGAGACGGGGCAGAGGGGGGTCAGGGGCCCTGGGCCCTGGCATGGGAGTGTGGAGAGGGCAGGATGGGGCAGGGGTGGCTGGGAGCCCCCCGGGGGCCACACGTGGCCCCAGTGTCAGGGGAGGGATGGGACAGGGGCACGGCTGCCTTTCTCAGAGCCCCACTGTCACAGGAGCTCCTCGTCGAGCACTGTTGGTGACCCTCTGACGTCGCCGTTATTGTGGCTGCCTCTTTGGCAAAAAGCGTTTCTCAGTGTTTATCATCAATTTTGTCAATGGCAACCTTAGCTCTTCCTTTCACATAATTCTGACAGAAATATCTAGCGGGTAATGTACTGTGCTGTTTTGTATGTGACAGCTTATTAAGCTCTTAGCAAATCAGGATTTTATATTTATATTGTCCCAAATAACTGCCTGGCAGTACAAGCAGAAATTCAAATTCAGATTCTGCAGGCAGCGGGAGGCCAGTTTGCCTTCCCCTTCCACCTGCTTTAATAGAAGGAAAGCAACTTAGTAACAATAGAGGTCAATTTTATAAAGTCTTAAAACCCAGAGAACATTTTTCTTGTCTTACTAAAACAAATTCAAACCCTCCAGTTACTCACCCGGAGTAGTCTGTTGTTTCGGTCATAGCAGCTTTCCTGGAGTCAGCTGAAAGCAATACTCTGCGGTGGAGGCAAGGCAAACACCCCGCTATTTCTTCAGCTGTTGGGTTTGGGAGCTCAGGAGAGGTCTGAAGGGTCTCTGCGGGGGGTTAAATACGCTTCCTCGCTTTGTGCGGCTCCCAAGATCAACAGTGGCACCGCGGTCCCCCGCCACCCGCCCCCCTTTGCCCCGTCAGGTGCGAGAGGTTCCTCCTCGGCCGGCGCTGCGGTTTGTCCCAGATTGGCTGTTTTTGCAGGTGTGTCACCATTAACCTCGGCTTGCCTTCCACGGGGCCGCTGACCCGCTGGCCCTCTGCCCACCGGGCCATGTGGCCGGCACACGTGCACACCAGGGTGCTGGCCCGCCCGTCGCCGGCCGAAGCTTTGTGCCAAGGGTTTGTCGGGTTCACCGCCGCGTCGCGGGGCCCTGGGGATTGGGAGGGCGCTCCTGCCCCGCACACCAGCTTCAGGCCCTGCCTTCCCTGGCCCACCTGCTGCAAATTCAAACCCAGCTGCGTTTCTCTGGGGTGCACAGAGAAGGAGTTAATGTTGTAGCAAAGCTCCACAGGCAGCGGCGGGTCCCTGCGCGGGTGCCATCAGCCCATGCCCGGTGCTGGAAGCCCCAGGCTGTGTCAGTGCTTGAGGGGATGTGCTCCCCAGGGCTGGGGTGTGCTTGTCTTCGCCCCAGCCAGCCCGTCTGAGCGTGGGGTCGCTGGAGGCCAGGACGACTTCTACATTTCAAAGCGTCGTGGTCCTCCTGGGTGGCCCAGGAAACTGTCTGAGAGGGCAGATGCTCCCCAGGTGAGCGTTGGAAGGCAGATGTACCCGTCCCCACCAATCCCCGGCTTCACCTCCTGGCTCTTAACCCTGACAAGTGACTTGCAGTGGATTTGTCTCTCTCGTTGGCTGCAGTGCCCAGGTGCAGCGACGGGCAGAGGCTGCACCGTTCCCAAACAGATCGCAAAGCAACTCGTCCTGGCCTGCAGAGGCTGATTTCGTTCTCGGCAGTGCCCAGACAGTGGTGCTTGTTCTGTCTGCACCCACCTCCGGCTCAGCCATGGGGTGCTGGACGGCCTCTGGGGAGCAGGCGGCAGCGCCGGGGTAGCCACACGGCCCCGCCCGCGGCTCGAAGCCAAGGGCAGCGTGGAGGCCACGCTGCAGCCAGGGCGGCCCCCCAGGCACAGGAGGCCAAGCTGCAGGCGCTGGGTCGATGCTCGGCGCCTCCCGGGTGCGTCTGCCAACAGCGAGCTGAGCCGCGGTTCGAGGCAGAGTGCACAAGGAGAGGGCTGGGCACATGGGTCCTGCTGCCCGTCCTGGCACGGCTGAGCCAGTGCCCTGGAAGATATTTTAGGCAGCGGCTGGAGGGGCAGAATCTGGCTTTTGCTGTTGGCCTGGGAATGATAGATGAAAGCTCTGGTTAAGCAGATAAGTGCTAGGTAATTAATTACCATGGTGACCGAACCAATAAACACCTCTGATTTCAGTGCAGATTTTGCCAGCCGATGCTTTTGATCTCGGATCACTTCTCTGTGATTTATGTGATTGCTATCGCAGGTCCTGGCTGTTATGGCAAACGCTTGTCCTAGCAGTGAATGCAGAGAAGCAAGAAGAGTCTGCAGGAGCAGCCAGTGGGCTCGTTGCAGCCCCTGGGCAACCTTAATTGCCTACAGAGGTTTTTATTATTTTCTTTTTTAGCTTCGACAACTTTTGTAATTGGAGCCACGTGAACGTGGTCAGGCCCAGCAGGCCATGGGCTTTGGTGGCTGGATCTGGGCTGGGGGGCAGGCATCCCCCGGGTGCTGGTGAGCTCCTGCACCCAGGACCCCCACCTGACCCCCCCCGGATGGCTGGAATTGCCTCCCCCAGCCTTGCTGCTGGTCCCCACGCCCCCAGTTCGGTAGCTGGTCCCTGCTGGGCTCACTGCCCCGCTCCTGCCCACCTGCTGCCTGCACACCCCCATCTTCTGGGCTGGTATCTAATGACGGCTTTGGCTTCTTTCGGAGGGATTTGCAAGGCCCCCTCCTTCCAGATGCCTCACCCCTCATGCATGGTGGTTTTCTTCTTCGCCATTTAGCTGGTTAATAAGCACTAAAAATAAATGAAAGACAATCAGCGCACGGTTGCTGTCCATTCAAAGCTGCAGCCCTAGTTAGAAACATTGTGTGTGTGGCCTGCCTACAGCCGCAACGAGGCCCTGTTCCACTAACGAGGCAGGGAAGGTAATTGCTGTAACTGAGGCAGCCTTTTGCTGGGCAAATACACCTCCAAACCCTTAAAATTACAAGACACCATCTAACTGCAAATAAGCGTTAGAAACCAGAGGCATAGAAAAGTGTCAGCTGGGTGTCTCGCCCCAGAGAGGGTCAGGCTGGATCCGAGGAGGGATGGGAGCAGAGCAGAGCCCTGGCGGGTATTTCAGGCTTGCTGGAGTCGTACCAAAGCCAGGCTGGAATGATTTCTCTGCTCTGATGAAGTTCTTCCCTCCCTGAATGCTGTTAACATTTGCCTGCCAAGGATGAGTTATTACTGACGCTCCACAGCACTCCTGAAGAATAAGGATCTGGAGGCTCTTTTTCCTTTCAGACCGCACCAGATTGCACCGTGAGGTGCACAGGAAAAGTTTCCCCGGGGCTGCGCACATCTTCCTCCTGCAGCCGTGAAGCGCCTGTCGTGTGCAATTGCTGTGCTGTTCAGCACAATCCCCAGTGTTCCAGGCACGTTGCAATTAATGTGCAGGCGGATTGTTGCAGTTCTGTCCAATTAGCATTACCTGCGTTGGAGAACACAACAGGAAGGTTTGCTGTGCCGGTGGCAGCTGTCAGCATGCTGGGGAGGCGACACCTCAGTTTAGGCCTCCCTGGCCCCGGGCTGGGGGGAGCCAGGGCAGTTCCCCAGCCTTTGCCGAGAGGCTGATTTGGCATACGGGGCCCGGGTTGTTGTTGATGCCCGAAGGAGAAGGAACAGCTTGCACATTGAGTCCAGATGAGTCCGTGGGATGAGTGGGTGCAAAAATCACCTGCTGCAAAGGGAGCGCAGCTGAGAGTGACGAAGCGGCACACGGACTCGCCCCGCTCCATCATCTTCCAGCAGCTCCAACACCCGCAGGCTTCGGAGAAAGGACTTTGGCCCGTGAAACACCAGCACTGCAGTGGCTGAGCCCCCCGTGGGCACCGGGCACGGCTGGGCAGGGGCTGCACTGAGCAGGCAGCCGGTGGTGCCGGAGGGAAAGGCAGCACCTGGCTGCATGTTGCGGCGAGGCGGGAGCGGTGCGGCCCCGCGCTTCCCTGGGCAGAGGTCACTGCCTGGGTCTGCTGAACGTGGCGCTCCCACCTCTCCCCCTTCCCCACCTTTCCTGGCGGAGCGTTTGTGGGCACGCCTGGCAAGGTCTGCACCTGCACGGCTCAACCATCTCAGGACAAAACAATTTCCTGGAGCACATGGACAACTTCTTCAGTTAAATATTTACTTACGAACTAAAAATAACATTCCAGCACTCCCAGCTGCCATCCCCGATGTCCTTGCCTGGTGGTCAGTGAGGCTCCAGCTCTGCCCCCTGCGTGCCCAGTCCCACGGGAGACCCCTGCACCCTGTGTGTGGCAGAGGGGTGAGAGTTTGGGGGGAGCGCTGCTGAGTGAGCAGGGACGGAACCTTCCCAAGCCACAGCTCTGCCTGGACGGACAGGCTGAGAAATCGCCAGTAAGCAATGTTCCTGTTGGTGTTTGCCCCTGCCATGTTCAAGGGAACAGGGACAAGCGTGTTCTTTTTAAGTAAACATGATTGCACCAGGGGAAGCAGTTGACTCGTGCTTTTGGCTTCCCAGAACTGATGTTGAAGGGAAGGGGCAGCACCCGCTGCTGCTGCCCAGGTTTTGGCACCTGCCTCTGTGCTGGTCAGCTCGCTGCCTGGCCTGTGCAAACGTTTGGTTCCCTCCTTTGTGATTATTTTGCCCGTGCTTGTTCTCCTTCAGGATGGCTTTAAATCTATCCCAGGCTGAGGTGTGACAGTGCTGCTCTCACCGACTGTGGGGCGGCTTGTGTGTCTCAGGCACTGTTTGCCCTCCTGCTTGCCACGGCAGAGGCTGCAGGAATGGAATGGAATGAGAAATATTTTCAGTTGAAAGGGACCTACAACGCTCATCTGGTTCAATTGCTTGACTGTTTTCTTCTTCTGCGAGGCAGGGTGGGGAAGTGGGGATGGTGCGAAGGGGAGCTCATTGCCCTGAGCGAGTGTTTGTTTGTGACTGATTCAGAGCTAAATTCAGACTTTCCAAGTGCCAGGCAGCAGAGCTGTTCGCACATGTGCTAAGGGATGACAAATAAAGCATGATGAAGTGTACGGCAGAGTAACATATGGCAATCTAGACAGGCTCTCAGCAAGAGAAGAGCTCGGGAGAGCCAGCGCTCCTGCGCCCATCCAACACCTCATGTTCAGTGCTATTTTCGCACAGGCAGTCGCCCGTCGGTCCTTGCGCGGCGGCGCCGTCCCCCCGCCGCGGCCTGCCCAAGCTGCTCTGTCTGCTCCCAGCAAGCCCGGGCAGTTCCTTCTCGAGTCGGTCCATTCCTGACTCCTCTCCCCAGGTCCCTCGGTGCCAGTGCTCTGCTCCCCGACGCTGCTGCTGAACGAGATGTTCCAGCGTTTGGGGAGCAGCCCCGTCCCCAGCGAGGGCAGCGGCCCCGGCAGCCCCGCGGGCCTGGGGCTGGGCAGGAGGGGAAGGGTTGTGCCCCTTCCGCCGCCCTCGCAGCGAGCCCCGGCTCACACAGTGCATTAGTGTCAGCTTTTAAATTAGCAGTTCTGGTTCGTTAGCAGAGAGCTTATGAAAATTCACAATCGGAGAGATGTCTGGTGTATTCCTCTAGTAATGATTCCTGGCAGTCGGCATGAAGGAGCAGAGGAAGCACTGGGGAGAGTTTTCACCTGACAGAAACAGGGCTGTGTGCCAACCGCGCAGAGCTTCCCCCCTCCCTGCCCCTGCCCTCCCCCTGTGCAGATCCAGGATAGCAAACAAGGTGGGCAAAATGTAGATTTTTATCGACTGTTTGCTCTGGCTCTTTGCTTTGTCTTGTTTATTATTGGTATAAATCTGTTCCTGGCTTCAGAAGAAGTCAGTAAAACTCTCTCAGAAGAAACCAGGCACCACAAATCCTCAGGGCATGCGAGTAACAGCAGCTTGTCGGGACATGTTTTCCCCTGAGGTGAAACGCTGTCACAAACCCATTTATTTCAGGCAGAAATCAGCTGCCTGACGTGTGTAGCTGTTGGAGGAGCTGCTGATCCACCCATCCCTGCGTTTGCTGCACTGGAGGAACTGAGCACTGCTGCTTCCTTGCAGGGAAGTTTCTTGGAGTTGTGGACAAGGTTGTGTTGCTTTTCCCTGCGTACCCATTCTGCAGTCTTGAGCACTGTGGCCACTCCTGGAGACGGGCAGGAGTCTGCCTGCTTTGCAGACACCTTTCTGCTTGAACCCTGCCCAGGCAGAGGGGGGCTGTGCCCACACGGCTGCCCGCGAGGTGCCGGTGCCAGGGCAGTGGCCTCGCACGCTCGGTGAGCACCAGCCTGGCCCCTCATGCGCCGCAGGAAACGCCGCTCCGGTTGGGTTTAAACCCGCCAGTTTCTGGCCGGAGCCGGCAGTGGCTCCGCTGCAGGAGCTCAGCGCGCTGCCCCAGCCCGG